ATAGATTCGTACCAGAATTCATATTGCACGTGTTTTACACAACAGTTAGTGGTGTCTAACTTTCGATCAAATACATATAAAGTTTAGTATAACATATTATAAGTTCATAGGTTAACAAAGAATTAAAAACGAAACTTTAAAGTGTTTCTGTTATCCTAATTATTATTATTAACGAGAAACTTCAATAGCGTGATCACGCCAGAGCATTTTTATTGTTTCTGAAGAACGAATTTTTATAGAATTGTGTTGACAAGACAATGAGTACACCAGCCAACAACTTGGCTTGACAGTGCTCTTATTAGCTCGTTTGACAAGATGTGCTTTTTAAAAATTTGAGATTTGATTTAAATCTGATTTGGAATAAAAGTCTATTGGTCATGACCAACATCTCTGCTTGTATATCTTTTAACTTTCTGGATTTTTACATTAATATTTATAAATCAAATATTTAAATATCCTATTCAGTCTCTTGGTTTCATGCTGTTAGTAGTATTGTATCAAACACGTGGCGTTTTTAGGGACAGTTTCGATGATTCTGATTATTTGCTAGTAGAAATGAAATTATTTTTACTGAAAGAATAAATGTACAACGTGATGTCTATTTATGCAACTACTCAACACATTCTACCTATTTTCTAATGCAATACATAATTCAATACAATTTAATATATTCTAGCCATTTGCTAATAACTACGTTATTCATTACCACTCAACACATCCTATCCATTTCTTAATGCACTACATAATTAAATACCATTCAATATATTCTAGCTATTTGCTAATACATTACATAATTTATTACCACTCAACTCATTCTATATGTTTCATAATATCTAACTGATACTAGAAACGGTTGGTACTTGATGAAACCCCCATAATTACAAAATTTAGGAAAACAAGACAATTGTACGTTTCACAAATACATCATTTATTACGACCATAGTTTCCTGTACCTGATGATTCCTTGACTGGCAAAAGCAAAATCGAAATAAGTGAAACGTACAATTGTCCTGTTTTTTCTTAATTCTATATTTGCTAATACGTTATATAATTCATTATCAATCAAAATATACCAGCTATTTGCTGATACATTAAATAATTCATAAACAAATTGAGATTTACGTAAAAACTTAAAGTAAGACTCATGTTAAAACACACGGTGACTTTATGTTTTGATTGATTAGTATTGTTGCGTATCTGCTCGTTTGTTAATTTCCGGTATAAATTACTTCCGAGGAACTTCAGCGATACAAGTCCTTTCTTAATTAAAACTAGTTTATTCTTTCTCGATACAACTTTGTAACACACAGAATTTCCACAGTCACTTTAAACTTAACAACCTTTATAACACACGCTATAAATCACAGCGATTCACAAACTTTACTTTCGGTGCCTACTGTTCGCTTGACTCAGTTATTTATCTCTCTTCAATCAATCTATCTATCTATTCAATCGCGCTAGTTTTTTTTCTCGCCAGGCTTATATACTAAAAAAGGGAGCGTCTCGAACTAACTAGAGTTGCCAGGAAAATTCATGATCCTTCGAGAAACTCCATCGCGCATGCTCCCAGCGTCGCGTGACTTCCGCTGTCGTAACAGTATTCTTATTGTACTAATAAATAATACTGATATATACTAAACTACACAGTCATATCAGAGTGGTGTATAATTAGAGATAACTCTTGTCCATAGTGAAGTCATAATCAGTCAAAACGTCAAAAATTTGTCTCAAAACCACTGAAATAAATAGCTTTCGATTTCATCTTCTTTTCGTTTTTTTCCACTTTTACTTAAACCGCTAAAGATCTACATAGTTTAAAGTAGAACATGTTGTCGCCATGGTAACTAACAACACGTCACTGTCCACTCAACCTATCAGAAGTGTACTCGGGATGACATTTCAAAAAGACATTTATCACTGGACCATTGAAAGAGACAGATGGAAAGGCCAATGGCAACGAAATATTTTTTTAAATAATTAGGTTTTACGGCATTTTACAAACACAATTGAAAAATTTATTGAAAGGCGTCATGAAACTATTTGTTTTGTTTTTACCCTATCTTATGAATTCGAAGAAAAGATTTGTTCTTAAGACTTCTAAACAATTCCATTAGTAATAAAGAAATGACTATCTGAAGTTCTGAAACCTATGAAATGAAAACTAATTTACTTCAAGATAAACAAATATAAGATTAAATAATTATCTTTGTTCGTCTTTTGGCTGTCATTTTAATTTACGTCTGGGTTTTCAAGAAATAGAAAACCTTTTTAGAAAAAGACTGATTGCTTTAATCCAGTGATCATGGATGAATAAACCAATCAGATCAAGAATGTATCGCTCTGTCCAAGGCAATTAAGTCGTGCACGAGTAATTTAACATGTTTCAATGATTAATTGACTCCGAAGATCAGTCTTCTGAATTATTTGAAAACCGGAAAATTATAAAAACAACTATAATTTAATATGTATTTTATACATTTATAATGTGAAAATAAACAATTCATTCCAGAGCAATAGGAGATATTTATCTACCTCCAGCTGCTAAAACACGACAGTAGACTCTCTTGGGTATATTTATAATACTTCGAAACTTCCATCTTTTGATGCAGCACCAGTCTGAGTATTTAAGTTATCTAGTTTCAATATAATTAACGATCTTTTTCACACATATTGGATGTTATATACCAGAAGGAAATCAGTCACCTCGATAACAACAAGTAGTTCAGTTTCAAAAGCCCCCTCCCCCCGGGCCCGGCATGGCCAGGTGGATAAGGCGCTCGACTCGCAATCTGAGGGTCCCCGTCCCACCAAACATGCTCGCCCTTTCAGCCGTGGGGGCGTTATAATGTGTCGGTCAATCCCACTATTCGTTGGTAAAAGAGTAGCCCAAGAGTTGGCGGTGGGTGGTGATGACTAGCTGTCTTCCCTCTAGTCTTACACTGCTAAATTAGGGATGGCTAGCGCAGATAGCCCTCGTGTAGCTTTGCGCGAAATTCAAAAACAAACAAACAAACAAAAGCCCCCTAGTGGCAGAGCGGTATGCCTGCGGACTTACAACGCTAGACACCGGGTTTCGATACCCGTGGTGGGCAGAACACAGCTAGCCCTTTGTGTAGCTTTGTGCTTAACTACAAACAAGCAAATAGCTTCAAAAAAATCAAACAAAAACATTCTTTCTTATTTACAAATTTACATCAAATTACAAACAAACTGACATCAATTTTTTGGGGGTAGGGAATGTAGCTCAATTTAACGCCGAGTTAAACAGCCTCTTTAGCGAATTAGGGAATCGTATATATATATATTTTACTTCACTGCTCATTTAAACCTCGAGAATAGTTTAAACCTACTCTTTGGTGTTTACCGAAATTGGAATTCGAATTTTTATATAGAAACTAAATGTAATGTACGGTTATTATTCTTTTTTTTAGGCCTAATTCTTTGAAGCCTAACTTCTATATTATCCTACATTTTTTGTCGTTTTATGGAAATTATATTACGCATTTCTCACCTATACTGAAAAAAATATAATACTTTATTTGTCAATTGATCTTTCTTTTTGTTTTTGAAAATCATTTGATACTTTTTTTCAGAACTTGATTCCGTGAACTCCATCACAAAGCTTGATGCAGTTTGAGAAGATTCGCTCACTGTGGCAGCGAGTTCTTTTTGTTATCTTTACGTCGTCGAGAAAAATTGACTGAAATACCTCTATGCTACTTGAATCTTTTTATTTTGACATTAAATATATGCAATACATAAGTTTTCATTTCATTCCCAACACCAGACTAATTTCTCTCTCTCTCTCTCGCTCTATATTTCGTGACACAAACATTTGTGCAGCAACAATGAGAAAATTAAACAAAAGACAAAATACTGCTTATGGCAAAGTACACTTTATAATCAGTTTTTAAAATAACGTTTCTGCTGTTATCAACATAACATTCTAGTTTTACATTTCTAACGTGTGATACATGCTTTTCATTATCTCGTATGCCCACCCTTTTCGTTGTAAAATCCTAACGTTATATGAGTGCTATTTCAATACGTGTTTAACACTTCCATAAAAATACAACATTCTACGTCATGACATTATGAAGTGTCGCTATCAAGCGGTAACAAGGAGAAACTACAATTCTTTGAATTTGCTTGATCTCTTAAAGAATTTTAGTTGCAATCATGTTTCAAACTCTATATAGATAATATATTATGATTAAGCAAACGTTAATTCGGTGTCTTTTCTATGCTTTGTAGTGTTATGTAGTGTAACTGTAAAAAAGTTAAATAAGTGATTTAATAAACGTATTAGTACTTGAAAAGATATAAAATCTGGTTAAGCTTTGTTATGTCTTTTAGGCTCAGAATCGTTGCCATCAAAGAAGACATTGCACTTTGTCATGATTAATAGCTTATATGATCACTTTAGTCTTATTATTAAGTAGGATCCAGTAAAACTAGTTATCCACGTGGGGACCATTGAAATAGCTAGATGACTGAAATCCTAATGGATCAATCCTTTTAACAAGTTCCCTATATACATTTCCTTTCAGTACTTTCCTGCAGACATCACATTAGCAGGATATCAGGTAATTATCATTTAGTAATAAACTTTAATTAATTAATAACTTGACTTAGGTGATCGTATATGCTACTAACTATGACAACGATTGATTTCCGATGGCCACAACGTTGTCGTAAATACTTAAGGTATTGCGCATATTTAATACTAAAAAAACTACAACGTCACATGAAACGACAAGACACATTCGTATGCTAGTTAGGGACATTTAAAAACATACCATAACAATGCAAATGGGCCATAACACTAATTCGTATAAAGCTTTGACCTGTGTTAATTGTAGATGTTTTACGTAAAAAGCTTTTTCTGAGCTAAAAGTATCCAATGATTGCACTGAAATTATCTGTGTTTAGGCTTACATCTGTTGTTTAAAATGTTTAACGATGTTATCGATTTTCGCTAAACCACAGCTCTACTTTGTTTTAGTTTATTGTCTTTTACGGTTCAGTTTTTCCTAGATAGAAATGAATTACGTATTTTTTTGTTTTAAATTATGCAAATAAAATGGAGACATTCTCAATAACTTCGTTGTCGTCTTCAGTTTTTTCCATGCAAGTCATCCATCTAGTACGTTTTAACTATTATCGATCTGTCTTTCAAACAATCTTTAAAAAACTAACATCAAATATCTAACAAAATATATTAGTGAAAAATTTCACTTTAATCTTAGATTTTTCCCCTCAGTCAGAGTTGACATATATTAATGAATAGCTACTGTTCCATTAATATTATATCTATATCCATGATATGATCGATTTAACAACAATGTATACATACACATCTCTTCTTGATAGATTGCAGTAACGATACGTACAACTATGGTTTGACCTCCAGTAATTAACATTACTTACAACATTAAACACGAAATATACACATTGTCAACACGGTCTTATATTTATCACAACGGAACTTCTTTAATTACTCTACAAAGAAGTACTAAAACTCAGACACTGTTTAAACTTTGTCAACATTTGTTTAAAACCTGAGCCTTCAAACAGATGTTTCAGGAATAATCGTCGTTTTTTTCTTTCATTTTGACTTTTTTTCTCGACTTGTTGTTTAAAACTTCATTACCATTAGCGTCTAAAGACTGATATTTCTTTTATATCTTTTATACTTGATAATTAATGTATTAACAAGATATATATTATGTATAATTACTTTGTTTCTTTTACATGTAGGACATTCAGCATATTAAACATTTAAATACAGACCTTGTTTTAATGAAATCTTATTTTAAGACAGTTACACCCAATTGTACAACCAAACAGCATTTCAAAACGAAATGTTGACTTCTAGAAAACCACTTAATTTTGAAGAGGTTCTTCAAGAATAATGTACACTACAAATTACAGTCCATCAATATTTAAAAAACATCTATCTGTATGACAAATGTTTGACGACAGAAACACCTAAGTCCAGAGACTGGTACATTAATGAAATATTTCTCTTTCCATGCTAAATTCCGTTTTTTGGATTGACTGGTGATAACCCAGCTCTAGGTATTACATCCACAAGTTTCTAATCTAATTCCAGGTCAACTAGTTGTAAGTCAACTTTCACAAGACTTTCAGTCTGTGCCATTGGGATATGGCGGATCTAGCTTTAGCCAGCATGTCACACCAGTGTTTGGACTCGGTGGGTCCACTCCGAGAGGATAAGATCACCTTCCCAATGAGTTCATTCCGTCCAATGGTGTCGAAGTCCATGACAGCAACAGACAAGTAAGTTTCCCGAATGTGTTCCCAGGGAACGACGAACTGAAAGGTTTCATTAAAAATTGGGTTTAGTGTTCGGTTGTGGACTTGCGTCTTCTTTTTTTCCACTCGTTTGTCACCTCGATGTAGCCACACTTTGACATAGGGATCTGAAACATTTCAAGGAAAGAAATTAACCACAAGTATTAACGTCCATCTTATTCCTCAGAATAAAAAAACCAAAAACACATCTATAGAGTAAGAGAATTCTTTCTGAGCTAATTACTTCAGTCCTTACAACGGTTTACATCTGTACGGACATATAAATCTTTCTGTTTATCATACCTGATGAGCCATTGATGTCCTTCGCTTTCAAGTTTCTTGCTTTGATGAGGGAAATTGACAGTTCACTTGTTCGGGGAATATAGATTAAAGTCACCAAAATTTCTCCTAGCTGAAATATGAAATATTATTTATCAGTATAAAACACAAATATGAAACACCATATATCACTATAACAAATATGGTTTTATAATTTATCTATATAAATCATGAGCATTATTACATCACTCAATGGTATAACACACATATATTATTTACCAGTGTAACAATCATAACTGTGTCGTTTATAAACTTATTGCATTAGAAGATAAATTGAATAGCTTAATACTGCATCATACAAAATGAATGAATATAGTTTATAAGAATAATTATTATTTTTAAAGCTATTAACATCTAGTCAGGTTGTTTATCAGTAAAACGTAATTGATTAATTATTATTTTTAAAGCTGTTAACACCTTGTGCAACCGAATCTCTCACGATGCTTAATGAAGAAACAAGAGTTTTGAGGTTTTTTAATGAATTCATAAATAAATCAAATTAATGGTGTATAGTTTCGAAGTTGCTGGAGTAACACGATCTCTTTCGGGGCTACAAGAGGGATAAAGTATTGACAAAAACTGTAAGCGTTTTGGAAAATTCGCTTTTAATGGTAGTATACCGATTTAGAAGAAATACCCCCCCGTTGTCCTTTCTTTTATGTTTCGAGCTATTCTCTTTAACCCTGAACGAAATAGAAAGAAGGTGAATTTTTAATTTCTAATAGGTGTTACGTTTCTTATTAACGTTTAAAGTAAGCGACAGCAAGAAAACTCCAATTTTATTTCTGAATCTACAGAAACGTGAAACGAATGACAGTATACTCTTCTAATAAGCCAACTTGACGAGCACGGTAACAAGAAACAACTCAGCAGCAGTAGTTAATATTGTCAAAGTTTCGCCATTAACTCTCCTTACTTCACACATCTCATGTTGTCCAACACGTTAATTCGAACATTTAACATTTTTGTACAATGTTCATTTGAACTTAACTAGTGACGAAAAAATAAAAACATTCATAGTCATCAGTACGATTGTCGTTTATTTTTATTGTAAGTTTGTTTCTTTAATTTCGCTTAAAGATACACGATATTTATCTGTTCTATCCGTCCTTAATTTTGAAGTGATAGACTAGAGGGAAGGCAGCTAGTCGATACCACTCACCGCCATCTCTCCAAGATACCCTCTTTTTTTTTTGTTAGGTAAAGCACTTCAGTATAACGTGAATGAATAATTGAACTTATGCTCTGTTTTAAAATATTGCATATCGACTGAATCACTTAACAGTCTTAGCAACTTATCACAAAATTTACTATAGGTAGAGAAGAAAGTGAATGTAAGATAAAATTGACGTTACTTTGTTTTATAAACGATAATTAAACTTAGGTTTAATTAAGTCATTCAGAATTGTGTGTCAGTTTTATTTCCTTTCAACTTGTACGAGACAACATAAGTTACTATACATAAAGCAAATACAGCAAAATATGACTGTGAGTACTTCATGACACTAATGGAAAAGTGTTCTTTGGTAGAAAGCTATATTAAACATAAAAACAGAGGCTGATCTGTTTTAGAATATCTCAAAACAGGTGCTCTGTGTTACGATACTTGATCATACAGCAACGCGAACTCATGTTAATATACTAACTATATTATTTATAACAACAGGTTATTCTATGTAAGGATATTATATTTTTATAACAAGGTGTCTATGTTAAGATACTATATTATTTATAACAACAGGTTATTCTATGTAAGGATACTATATTTTTATAACAAGGTGTCTATGTTAAGATACTATATTATTTATAACAACAGGTTATTCCATGTAAGAATACTCTTTTATATATTTTATATATATAACAACAGGTTATTATATGTAAGGACACTCTTTTATATATAACGATAGGTTATTCTATGTAAGAACACTCTTTTATTTATAACGACAGGTGTTTATGTTAAGATAATATATTATATATAACAACAGGTTATTCCATGTAAGGATACTATATTATAAATCAGTGCTTCCCAAACTTAACACCTACAATCTGACATTTTGTCAGATTTTTGTTTACAAATACAGTTGTGTCGCGGAATTTTTGCAATTATTGAATAACTTTTATTTAGTAATGGGAATTTATTATCAAATTAATAGATTATTAAAATTTCAAACCTGATTTATTTTCTTCTCGATACACAGTATAACAGTAATTTCCCCCTTTTTAGTCAGGGGGTACTAAACCTGCCATATGGACTTATTTACGTGTGCCGCAAAAATTTTGGAAGCACTGTTATAAATAATAACAGATATATATGTTAAGTTTGTTTGTTTGTTTGGAATTAAGCACAAAGCTACACAATGGACTATATGTGATCTGCCCACCACGGGTATCGAAACCCGGTTTCTAGCGTTGTAAATCCGCAGACATACCGCTGTGCCACTGGGGGCACATATGTTAAGATACTGTATTATAAAAAATAACATGTTATTCGATGCTAGGATGCTATAGTATATATACATGTATATATATATATATCAACAGGTAACGTACGATAGAGTAAATAGCAACATGCTCTTACAAGTTAAAATACTATACGGTATATATATATATATGTGTGTGAACAAGTATCTATGGTAAGATTATATTATAAATAAAAACAGGTTTTTGCTTGTTAAAACAATATGTATATAACAACAGGCGTCTATGTTAATTAATGAACTATATTATAAATGTTTTAAAGTAGCATGTTTAGCCAGTCTGTAACCAGTCCAATTATCAAGTACGAATAATGTGTTCGGTAAGAAAGAAGTGTTACAAGCAATGTTAATTAAGATATTTATAATCAGCTGCTCCCCATGGTGGACATTAAATGCTAATTGTCAGACAACGTTACTTACTTTACGAGGATATCTTATATTGAGAGGACTGAATCGACTTCGAATTAGGTTTCTAAGAACTAGATGTATCCTTGGTGAACGTTATTTGCTATTCTCTAGAGAGGTTTACTCGGTTAACTGGGCTTCTTGTAGTTAAAAAAACAAAACAGAAAATATGTCTGTAAACAGTGCATTGCATTCCAAGTCGCTAGATGGCGCCACATGCATAAAAAAACGGGAGAATGGATATGGGAAAAAGTAAAAACTCCACAGTTCAGAAATGTGAAGAGCATTTCACTGAAGAATCATATAAAAAACCTAGATTTAATTCAGACAGTTTGTTACTTAAGACAAGATTAATTTGGAATTATTTTAGTTGATTCTTGTAAACTGATTCTCGACCAATTCTTATAATTAGCATTCGAACAGTCGGTAGTCGATGTGTAGATCTGTGTTCCTAAAGATGAAGAACAAAACATTTCTTGATACTTCCCGAGAACAAGCTTGCTAAAAACAAAGGAACGCCATTAATTTCAAGGTATCTAAACAAACTGTTACAAAGTTAGTTTAGGGCTGAGCTGTTGCTTAATGAAGTCAAAATATGCACTTTTATTAAGAAAGAAAGTTATACTTTTGTAGCTCACTGTTTAGAATACCCATTTCACTAATGTGAGCTTCGAGAAGATACATTTGACTGACCTTGATATAGCGGAGTAAAAACGTTATACAATTATTATTAATACTAAACGTGTTTGCATTGTCTACTTTATCAAGGTCGAATAGACATCATGAACAAAATAGCTCAGAGCAATTAATGTGCAGAACATTTTTAGTAGATATAAGAACCCCTACATTGTATGAGTTAATATAGAAGATGATTATATGTGGTATTACTTGGAGGAGTCTTTAGACCGAAATGATTTAATACTTTATTATGCATGCGTAAGATGTCATGGGTAATTTGATTAAAACCCCAAAGGCATTAATCTAACTTTACCCATGTTACGTGTATTCTTTGTGATGTTTATAGTTTAGAAAGGAACAGTAACATATGATCACATGAACACACTTAAATACTGTATTAGAAAGAATAATGTTGAAACATTCTCATTAGGATAGCTGTTTTTGTTGTTGTTTTTACTTGTAGGACTAGTTAGTAATTGTTGTATGCTAGTTGCTGTGAATTGTTTTACCCTGAAGCCAAAACGTTGATTAAATAAACCGTTTCTTTCTACATCTTAATTCATCTTTACATAAAATAACTAACGCTATTTTCAATTATTTTCTTTCGCCGTATACATAATAACGTGGTAGTATTTAGAATACATCTCAGCCTAGCTGCACACGAATTGTTTTGGCTCTGCGTGTATGGTGTTTGTAGATGTCTTTTATTCACACGGCGATTCTTTGTTTATTATGAATTTCAAGAATATGCAGCACTGATACTACTAGTTTATTATTGTAAATTATTCAACCGACAAGCTGTTTGTAAAATTAAGAAATATTATTATTGTAAATTATTCAACCGACAAACTGTTTGTAAAATTAAGAAATGTATGAGAAGTTCTATACATCATTTGAAGTACCACTTGTCACTGAGTTATATAATTTTTGGGGAATTTCATCCTTCGTCAGTAAGTCGAATCATTGATTGGTTGAGCTTCACATTTATTCTTTAATAAGTTAAGCTCTGATGACCTTATTATGCTTACCTTTAAAAAGTTTCTTCAATAATGGGCGCCCGTATTCATACTGGAAAATTTACTGAATTTTCTACAAATCTACGTTTTAAACCGCTTGCCCACTTTTTATATCCTCGGAAGTAATTTTTGCGTATTCTTTTACAAACTCAGTTATTGTTTCTCAACATTTAAACGCCAATGGAAGTTAAAGTAAGAAAGTTATCATAAAATAGATTATATTAGTGATCGCGTCAAGATTCGAAGCCGAACAGACTGCTATGAGAACGTTACTACCAAACATGCAAGGCGTATAGTACGGTATATATGATAACATTTTCAACGTACATTATTATACTAATAATAGGTCATTAAGTACAAATTTCGTTCCGTTTAGTTAAATACCTTCTCCCTGCTTTAAGATCAATTGCAGTTTAAATTATAACCTATGATACGACTTAGATATTTCATTGTTTCCTATCTAACCTATGATACGACTTAGATCTTTCATTGTTTCCTATCTAACCTATGATACGACTTAGGTCTTTCATTGTTTCCTATCTAACCTATGATACGACTTAGATCTTTCATTGTTTCCTATCTAACCTATGATACGACATAGGTCTTTCATTGTTTCCTATCAAAATACTCAACTCGCTAATATAAATATTCAAATACGCTAGAAAAAGCACTGAAAAATAAATATGCCAATTCACACCTACAAAACGTTCCTAAGATTCTTGCTTTATTTATATTGGCTGAGATTAACATTTCACTATTTCCAGGCAATTGAATCACAAGTTTTTGGTTGAAAATATCAAAACGTTACGATTTTGAACTTCACGATGAACAAAATACAAAGCATTTGTTAGGTCTTTTCGCTGCAAGGTTCAACGATAAGTTTACGAACTTACAACGCTAAAATTCGGGGTTTGATTCCCCGCGGTGGACAGAGTGAAGATAACCCACTGTGTAGTTTTGCGTGAAAAAATAACAACGACAATGGTTCTTTTGTAACAAAAAACCAAGAAGGAAATTGTTTCTGTAGATATATTGATAAAATAGCTAAACTTTATAAAAATATTTATAAACTATTACATTGGACGTCACGATTGGCAAACATACAATGAAAAAAGCAACAACATATCTGCTTAGTTGTTTCTCTGTACTAAGTATTATGAACGACAAGAAGGTCATTTAAAACTGAACTTTGTTATCAAATGCTTTCGTTTTCTTAAAAAAGAAGAAAAGAAAAAAGAATGGCACATTTTTTTTTTCTAAATAAATGTCAAATGAAGGTCAATAATATAAATTTTCAATAAATAGTGCGCCGGGCGTGGTCTAGAAATTAGGATCAAAAACATTTTCCAGACTTTGAGCTCATGGGTGCGCTATAAGATTGACTGTTAAATTCCGGTCAGCCAAGAGTAGACCTGATTAGTGGTAGTTGATGTTGATAGCTGTATTCCCTTCAGTACATCAATTCAAAGTTAGTGACATCCAATGTAATGGTTTATAAAGTTTTGAACCAAATAAACACCGAGTAGTAAACCATTTTCACTATGTAGTAAAGCTCTCTGGCGTAAATTTCCTTGGAAATTTAAAACTAACCAAACTAAATTGTAGTTTTTCATTCAATAAGCAATTCAATGAGACATTTCAGTCTTTTTGTTTAACCTAGAAAGTTTTTGTTTTGTTTTTTAAACAAGATTTGGGTTTGAATTTCGAGCAAAACTATATCTGCGCCAGCCGACCCTAATTTAGCAGTGAAAGATTAGACGGAAGGCAGATAGTCATCACCACCCACCGCCAACTCTTGGGCTACTCTTTTACCAACGAATAGTGGGATTGATCGTCACATTATAACGCCCGCACAGCTGAAAGGGCGAGCATGTTTCGAACCAGCGACCCTCGGTTTGCAAGTCAAGCACCCCAACCACCTACCCATGCCGGGCCTTCGAATCAGGAATCAAGTTAAACAAAAACGCAAGATAAACAGATAATTGTTTGAGAAAATTGTTCAGTAAGGAACTAGAGTTGTATACTCGCCATCTTCACACAATAACTTATAAATATGACTTATTTCTACAGTACCAAGTTTTAAAGTTTTAGCTACATTATAGATGTATTAGGCTTACCAAACTGTCGTCATTATAAGTAAATCTGATTTGTTCCCGTCTTACCCTATTATCATCTCTTACTGCTCAAGCAACTTATACACAATATACATCATAATAAGAAACTGAACGTTATAGTAAAAACATATGCAACGAGATCGCGAAGTATATTGTTTGAAGAGTTAGCTTTATACCAATCATCCCGTTATTAATTTTAAAACAAAAAATATGTTTATGCTTTAAATTTTAAGAAATATTCAGCGTATGTGCTTATTACTATTATTGGTAATCACTAAAACACAGTTTTGAAGGAGATTATTGACTAATTGAAATATATTCCAATCGTACATTTAACTTAAAGTGCCATCAAATTGTTTTTGACATTCTCTTCACTACTTTATATTTCCGACTTACAGTGGTGAAATTTTTTAAAAGTAAATCATGATGAAAAATAGTTAGAAACTTAAAAAAAAAGTATAGAATGTTGATCAGTAATTGGAACAGAGTTAAACATCTTTTGGTGACTTGATGGAGACAAAAGTAAAATAGATTTACAACAGTCTTGTCTGCGTACATGCCTGATAATGAGAATATTGTGGGTTTAAATCCTGGTAGTGGTATTTTTTCTTTTGCAATTTAATGTAGTTTTATTCTCACATATTCACTTAATTCATTCCAAATTAGGACTTTTATCATTCTAATCACAACCTGTTCTCAGGACTGTCTATTGAGTTATGAAGTTCTCGTTTCTAGATATTGGTGGACAGTCCCTGTCGTTTTCCGGTCGAAATAATCTTTATTTAAGGTTTGTAATGACTAAAGACTCAAGATAAGTATATAATGTTTTTAGTATTATATACAAAATTAATTAGTAACGTTTCTTACATTTTGCCACGAAGTATCAATTTTTAGTTATATATTCCATGTTACAGCCTCAAGCTTCAACACTGATTCGACGGCACTAAGCCTTTGGTTTTATTATAAAACACTACTTTCATTAGCGACTTAACTTAATTGACACAGTATTTGTAAAAACAACCACGGACGGTGTAAGATTAGTGTTTTTACACAAAAATATTGTATTTCGGGTTTCCAGCCAGAAAAAATAAAGAAATTCCAGCTTAAGTGTTATGCCTTAAAACTTAACATTCTTCATAAACATAAAACACTTTTTTATTATACTTCGTGTATATGGTTTTCACCCATCTTTCATTTCAAAAATCTTATAAAAGTTTCAACGTGTAACGTTTAAATTTCGATATTTTACAACACAAACCGTCTCGCACTCAGGTGTTTCACTAATTTTTTTTATACGTAGCTATCCATGGTGATAAAAACCAAACTCTTATTTAAACCACTCTATCATTAGATACATATACACCCACGACCATAAAACGGCTTACAAAAGAGACACTTAACCAAGAAGACAGGACAGTCACAATATTTAGCATCTTTTTTTTATTTGTTTTAGATCAACCTCTCCCCCACTCAATTGCCACATGGCAATCTTACAACGTTGCGCTTAGCAACTAAGAAACTGAAACGAATTGTAATTTTTTGGGCCTCTTAATCCAGATTTCAAGATAGTAACTATGGCGTCTTCGAGTATTTTTGATTCTTTCGTCTTTTACACTTTTGTTTTTTTCTCTATAGAATAAGATTACGTTTTTTATTAGAGTTCATAATGTCATGCACGTATGGATTTTTACGTGCATGTCACACCACACGGGTTTCATACCGTTTTTATTTTTATTTTTTTGTGTGGATTTATTTTTAATTACTGCTCACCTTTGAATCTTCTGCAGGTGTGATGGATTTCCAGAATGTCGGCTTCTGGGTAAGGTCAACTTGACTTAATGGCAAGTATACATCTCCAATAGGATCGTCACGGGTGAAGCGATCATAGTCAAAAACGTGAAGATAGAGAATGGATTTTTGGAGCTTATAAAGCGGAAAACCTAGAGAACATCAAGACACAAAATAAGTTAGTTTCACTACGTTTTAAAATATTAGAAACTTAGTTTAGAACCAATGAACGTAAACAAAATAGGGATATGGGTTTGTATAAATACAATTGAATACATATATATTGAAGTATAAATTAATCTAAATGTACTTAAAGATGTTGAAACTGTTTTGTTTGTTCGTAATTAAACACAAGGCTACACAATGGGCTATCTGTGTTCTGCCCACCACGGGTATCGAAACCCGGATTCCAGCGTTGTAAGTTCGCAGACATACCGCTGTGCCACTGGGGGGGGGGGCATTGGGACTATAAAATGTTCTCAGTACATCAACATAAAAATCTTAACATTTGTACTGAGGGCGTAGGTAATGAGAGGTAAGGAATACGCGAAGTGTTTGTTTGTGGGGTAAGCTTTGTAGTAACTATCCCACCATGAAAGTTAACAAAAAGAATGTATATTTATAAGAAATATTTACTGAAAGTGTTTCTTGTTGTCGTCAGCGATTACTGCATTCCCTGCGATACTCAGCGAAAAGTCCCCCGGTGGGACAGCGGTAAGTCTTCGGATTTACAATGCTGAATTTAGGGGTTTGATTCCCCTCGGTGGACCCAGGAGATAGCCCGATGTGGCTTTGCTCTACAAAAACACATACACACTCAGCGAAAAGGTACAAAAATACTAAATGTCTATATATATATTTGTTAATTATTGGTATTAGTATCGCACTTCTAGATTTTGTAAGATAGCCCATTGTGTAGCTTTGTGCTTAACTTCAAACAAACAAATAATCTTGTAAACATACTATGCAGAATTAAAACTGACTTTCTGAATTTTGTCAGTAAAGAAAATAAAAACATTGTAGAACAAAATGAAAAAGATTTCTTTATTTACTTAGAACACAAATCAAAACTAGCAATATAAAAAATGGAACTCCAGAGACACCGTCAGTGAGAAAGTATAAAAATACCAAACAAATACAAGGTCAAGATTTAAGTGCACATAGAATATGCCTCGAGGGGCGAAAGTGTGCAAGTATGAACATTTTTGAAAATTGCGGTGAACTAACAATTCACTTCTTAAAGGTAACGGCCAAAGAAAACGCGGTATTTTCTCATGATGTGCTAAGCTTTGTTTCATTTAAATAGCTTGTCGTCCTCCACTAGTAAATACTATATTTGTTTTCAGTGTATAACATAAGAAGGCATAACAGTTTGTTTCAGAATTTCATGCACAGCTAAACACATATAACCGTCCTTAATTTTTAACTGCATGATAGTCTACAAGCAAGGTGGCAATTGAACAAACACACACGGGCAACTCTTAGTTCGCATTGTCTGATCAAATAATGACAGTTACTCTTATAAAGCACCCACGAATACAAAGTGAGTTGTACGAGCCATGAATCCTCGGACTTACAGTTGGGGTACATTAACTACTGGACCACTCCTAATTCCACAAACGAATTATTTCGACCATTTACTTGCTCAGTTCATACTGCTCAGGCTGAGTGCGACCCAGTAGTTAGCGTGGCGGAGTGTGGATCTGAGAAGGTTTCATTGTTCCTGTCGCAGTTACGGACAAAAAAATAAAATAAGACAAAATAAATCGCGCTATGCCCCTTGGGGCCATGTTGCATTATAAGTGCTACGATCAAGTCCCACTATTCGGTCTGCCAAGAGTTGTCAGTGGGTGAAGTTGGCTAGCTGCTTGATCCCTCTAGTCTTATCACTTCAAAACTAGGAAAGGCTAACGCAGGCAGCCCTCGTGCAGCGTTGCGCGAAATAAAACAAACAAACAAATTTTTCCGTTCCTCTTTTTGTATGTATTTTTTCTGAGCTGGTGTGACCTAATTGTTAGTGTGCTAGAAGTGGAAGTCCATTGAATCATAGGTCACGTCCCCATGACCTCAAAACGAACTTCATGCTTTGGGGTCGTGGGTGCGCTAAAAGAATGACGGTCAAGACCCACTATTTGTCTTAGGGTGACCATAAATGTGTGTATGTATGTTTGTAGATAAGCACAAAGATATACATTGGGCTATCTGTGCTCTGGCCACCATGGGTATCGAAACTCGGTTTCTATCGTTGTAAGTCCACAAACAAATAAACACTCTATTTGTATGCATATTTTTAAGAATTATATTATCTTGCCTTGACTTATTTCAATATGAAATTAGAGATAACATAACTATATTCAAAAATGGTTTAAAACATGTTATTGTTTGTTTCTTTTGAGTTAATCTAATCAAATACTTGGACCTGACTGTCACTCCTATAGTTCACCTGCGGCTACGAAGTGCAAAACATGATTTTGTAGCAATGAGACGTAAACCGTCGACCCTAAGATTCTTAGTCTGACAGTAGGCCACGACCGGATGTATAACAATATGAATCGTTCAATTTTCTTCACAATATTACAAAGAAGAGTCACATAAGTGACTGCCGTGAAGCAGATAGTATCAACTAATACATAAGAATAAAATGTTCGGTTCAGATATTTTAAACGCACATTTCTTCCTGTAGCTCAGCAGTAAGCATGCTGACTTATGTCGTTTTAAATCTGGGTTGGATCGCCAACGATAGACACAGCGCGTATGGTCGTTTAGTTCTGCGCTAAAACAAATAAATGTAGAGAATCTTAAACTCACAGGAAACAAGAATAAAAACAAAGTTGAAACATATTCCAGAAAATACGTTCCTTGTCTATGAACCTGAATTTATATCCAAATTATTCTCGTGTTATATTATTTATTACTCAAACCCTATAGATCAGCGGTAAGTTTAACGGACTTACAATGCTAAAATCCAGGGTTCGATTCCCCATGGTTGAAAGATCGCAGATAGACTATGATATATCTTTGGGCTAAAACAAACACTGTAGGTGCAACTTTTCTGTACTGGGACATAGTGTTTCACGTGATTATATTAATTGTTGGAAAAAATGAAATTGTAATTTAGTTTCTCCAGATTTGGAGTTGGTGTTAACTGTAATGGTATTTAAAACTTAAAATATACTATTATTAATTTTTATGACGGATTTCTTTGCTTTTTTTTAGAGCAAAGCTACATGAGGCTATCTGCCGTGTCCACTGTGGGAAATCAAACCCCGGATTTTAGTTTATGTACGTCCGTAGACTTACTGCTGTCACACGGGGAACCAAAACATTTAAATTTTCATCATTTGTCGTTCAAACGAAACTATGTCTGATGTTTGGTCTTGTTTCTCGCCTTTAATTTATTCTTTCAATCAAAATTCCTTTGTTTTCGCAATCTTTTGAGTTGGTGTAAACGCTTTTTCAAGTATAAAACACGTTTATTTAGCGTCAAAATCAAGGACAAGACGGCGACAAAGATTCGAAACTGCGGCTGTAAGTGGTCGGCTGAAGTATGTACTTAACCTTTAAAAAAAAGAAAAAAAAAGAGGAAGGTATAAGTTAACACCAAATTTTCTTAAAAAACAAAGAAAAAAAAGAGGAAGGTATAAGTTAACACCAAGATTTCACATGTTCAGTTTACTTACCCTCAAAGTAAAGAGTTTCATTCCATCGAGGATTTAAAGTTCTGTGTTTGACTTTCGTCTCCAACTTGTTTTTCTTGTCTGGGAGTAGAAACACTTTCACATAGGGGTCGCTGGTTCCTATGATGTGAAATGTTTAAGATTTATTTGGAAATTATTTCAAAATCTGACTGATACATATAAAACTTTGTGTAAAAAAACAACCTCCGTGGGTCAGTGAAGGTGATTTTAACTGATCCATTTTTACTCATATTTTATTATGGTTTAATCATAAGTCTAAACTATGAGAAAGAAAATTTGGTCAGATCTATAAACACCTTATAAACAATAAGTCAAGCTATTAAGGTGTGTGCTCAGTTTAAATCATCTAATAACATATTGATGTTACTTCACTTCTAACCTTATTAATATTTTAGTTACCGTATTGTTAACCTGCATTAATTTTAGCTTAACCAGCGAATGACCAGACCTTTAACGTTTTTCATTGATAACCATATATTTTTTAACATTTATATTAGACTACATAAGTATTAGATAGGTTCGTTCTTTCTGAAAAAAAAAAAAGAGCGGGAAGTGAGTAATAGTATCCACAGTGATTAACAGAGGGAAGTACACTCATTATGGAGTACTTCTTCATTGTGTCCATTACATTAGTAGCTAAACAAGTGGTTCGTGTAACGCGCAACATGTATCTATATAAATATAATAGTACTATCTGTTTTATTTCCATATAACTACTTCGCAGGGTGTGAATGGATCTTCACCAAATTTGGTTTGAAGGTTTTTTGCGTCCACGGGGAGACACAAACAAATGTTCAATTTTCGCGTTTTGCGTTTTTTACCACTACTTCGTCTCTATAGATGAATGGATGTTCACCAAATTTGGCATGAAGGTTTTTTTGGGTCCATGGAGAAGCACAAAGAAATTATCAGTTTAACATTTTGCGGTTTTTTATGGGCGTTTTTGCGTTTTATTACCACTACTTCGCCCCTTTTGATGGAAATTCACCAAATTTGGCATAGAGATTCGTTGGGTCCATGCGGAGATACATGAAATTTACGGTTTTATATTTTCTATGTTTTGCCGTTTTTGTGGGCATTTTTGCGTTTATTACAATTACATATAAGGAAAGCAACTTTTCATGTCCTAAAATAACCTTTCATTAATCATGAATTTACATATTTCCGTCCACGGGACGGATACTCCAGCTAATTGTTAATATAATATTTATTTTAATTAGCCTACAGGGGAATAAGTTGGGTCACCATAACAATAGGCTGATACTAAACCGATTACGTTAACAATTATCTGTCTAATCAATTATTAGCCTACCATCACGATAAACAGTATTTAATTCCTTAAAAGTCTACCTCATAATATCACCAGTTATCAAAATATATTAATGCGTTTAAAGTATTGTAAATAATTATGAAACTGTGAGGGAAAAATGGCAAATATTACGGGAATACTTCCTTTTTTTATCGCGTGAAATTGAACTGAACCAGAGTACCGTAAAGTGTTGATAGTTTATACTATGACTGGTTGTAATCAAGCCAATCGGAAAGTCCTACACTAGTATAAAGCCTATTAAAGTATAAGCAATCTACTGTGCTCAGTAGTAGTAGTGTGAATCCAATATTTGTTCGCAGCACTGAAATACCGCATTACAAGCGTGTGGAAATCAACATTTTAGCTGGTCCGTGTTTCAGTAGGAGCCGTATGCAATTCTTTCAATAAGATACAAGAAACTGACACTGTTTCAAGAAGAAGTGATCAAGGTAACTCTTTACCGTCAAGATACTGTTTCATCAAATTTACCGTATGGTTGGGATCGTTGTCTTACTTGCCGATAAATTTCCCCTCAATGAGTCGTGTTCCTGTTAGAATGGTATGACGGATCAGAATCTGTTGTATGTGTCAGCAGTCAGGATGCTATAACTTTTGTGTAAGTATTCAATTCCACTGGCTGGCAGCCCACACTTGTACTGATCCCCAGCATGCTTCTCTTCAGGTGTTATAAGTTAATCGTGATACCGTTCTTCCCTCTGCCATCGAACATACTATCACTGATTGTTGGCAAAGAGTTCAAACTTAAATTTATTTCTAATGATCACCTTGCTCCAGCTTTGCTCGTCCTGTTGTTTGAAGTCTGATCAATTTTGTAAATATCACCGTCACTGTTGATGGTCATCCAGCCTCAACTTTGTATTGATCACCACCATATTTCACGGTAGATGTTGTAAATTGACTATAATTTAATGACTTTCTGTTTCATTGATGGAACATTCACAACCATGGCTTGGTCTGCACTAAGTCCGAATATGATCATTCTTGAGACCTTATGGCTTATGTAAAAATTGAGACTGTCATAATGCGAACAACCAACTTGGCTAATTCTAGGCATTTATACAGGACATTTGGAGTAACGTTTCATAATCGTACATTGATAAACTGTATTAGGGCATGAAAAAATTGTGTAATGTTCTGTGTAAAATAAAGGGCTCATAAAATATCAATTTACGGTTTTCCTTTTGTATTTTCTGTGATAATAGTTAGTACCATTGATAAGTTCGTCATCTAGTTGCCATAACTCGTTATTTGTTACTTCTCTATGTATAAATATATAACAGTTAAGTTTTACATCTAAAAGAAATATAGATTATTAAGACCACAAATCTCTACCTTTGATTCCAGTTTTATTTGTTGTTTAGGGCTTTAACATTGTTTTATTAAACCTGTTATTTTTATTTTTGAAAACTGTCTTTAAACTATGTGTGTTGTATTTAATTTCAGTTCACGGGAAGGTTTAGAACTTGTTCAGTTTCATTACCAGAAACTAATTTTTTCCTGTACTTTTAGCTAGTGATGACTGATTTCTGTGATTTTCAGAATACATTGCTTTTTCAATAAATAAGGGATCTTTTCAGAAACGAGTTAAGCCGACTATTAAAGCATTTAGATACATATTTTAGTTGTTGTTTTAACATTTATTTTTCATTAGGTTTGACCTGTTTCTGTTTTCGATATAAACATGCAAGTACCAAACTTGAGAGTCATAAAGACACATAATTTTGAGAAATGAAATGTATTTCATTAATTATTGAAATTGATTTTTTTTCAGATTATTGATATGATAGATCAAGAAACTGCAGCATATATTTAAGTTGATAAAAATTATTATTTCCATTTGTGGAACTTTGTAACCTTTTCAGTTTGTGTTTGCATTTATTTTTAACACAACTCAAACTAACACTTTTCAGTTTGTGTTTGCATTTATTTCTAACACAACTCAAACTCTTTCTGTTTATAAAAAAATGTTGAGTTACTCATTATATGAAGAACAATTGATACGCTCCAGAAGCGCTGCCTGTCTGAATAGCTTCTATACGATGAAACATAAAGTCAAATATTTCGGGTTAAATAATCAATGTACTTCATTTTTGTACATATATAACAATTACAAGATAGTTAAGGAGAAAATTTACATATTGTGTTTGCCGGTCAACACACTATTTTACGACATAGGGGATTATGGTAAAAGGTTTTAAATACTGAGTTTATTTGAATATTCACCAAGGCTAAAGAACAGAGCGCTGTATGCTTTTCTTGAATTGATGAGAATGGATTAAGAAGTTGTAGAATTTCTGAGCGCTTAATGTCACCTGAACTGTGATAAACAGCCTCTCAGGACTATTTGATTTATACTTCTGATTTATGTTGTTTCTAGGTTTGACATACCACAAGTCTTTAAACGTTATTTGGAAGGAAACCAAGAAAGAGAAACATGCAAGTATGACATTGATAAAGAATATACAAATGTGTACCTAGTTTAAATATTTCAACGTTACTGACGATTTGTTTACTGGTCATCAGACGAATGTACTGAAATATGCTCCCATAGAGCTGACGATTAATTCTGTGTGGTAGATTAATAGTCGAGGATTTTACTTTCTAGACTTTCAGTTGTTGCTGATTTATTAAACATGCAATATATATTAATTTATGAGCCTGTAATTTAATTTGTTGTACAACGTATAGAATAAAAGAAAAGTTAAATATTGTATCTTCGGTATTAAATTTTGAATAACCTACAGGTTACTCCATAAACACGGCCCTCAATATAATCAACAATACTAAGTGTTAACTGATCACCGAGTAAACATAATCATTATGTGGTCCTCAGTATTTCTTGTAATGATAACATTTTGAACAAGCCTAACATGGCCTGGTGGTTAGGGCGCTCGACTCATATTCTGCGGGTCAAGGATTCGAATCTCCGTCACTGAAATTGCTCGCCCTTCAGGCCGTGGGAGCATTATAATGTGACGGTCAATCCCACTATTCGTTGGTAAAAGAGCTCAAGTTGGCAATGGGTGATGTTGACTAGCTGCCTTCCCTCTAACCTATCATTATTTAATTAGGGACGACTAACGCAGATAGCCCTCGAGTATCTTTGCGCGAAATTCAAAAACAAATAAATAAACAAACATTTTGAATGATCTACAGAATAAAGTACGAAATTAATTAGTGTAAGAGTTTCAAATTATTCCCCAATGAGAATCATTGTTTGGTGCACAGTTTAACTAGATAATTCTAAATAATCCTTCTTTTGTGGACTACTCTATTTTTGTGAACTTATGTAAAAAAAAAACACATAAACCGATACTTAAGACTTTGGTATTGAAAGCAGGCATCAGAGTAAACAAGTGTAAAGTTATTCTTATTCTATGCGACTGGTTGTTTATTCTTTTAAATTGATCAGATTGTAGGGCTTCTTATTTTGATAAAGTACAATGTCATAATGAAACTTGCTATTGAAATAATGTCCCATGTCTATAACTATTGGAAGTGGGGTGTACAATTTAAGAGAATTTCATACTTGTCTCGTGTTTATTATTATTTATGAGAACTTTTAGGTACTTTTTCGGGACTCCTAGACCAGAAAGGAGCCTAAAAAATCGCAGAAAATAGATATTTTAACGTTAGAAAGTCTTCTCTTTTCACTTATATTTTTATGTAGATTATAACACTAAAAGCTTTCTATCGTATGCTATTGTGGTATTTTGGAAAAATAACATATGTTTTGAAGTTTCTTTATGGGTAGCAACAGCCTGTTGTAGCGATAGTTGATTCCTGAAGACGGGAAACGGAAGTTATCCGAAACGTCGAGATGAATCAATTGTTGCTTCCAATGAAGAAACTTTGTTAGCCATAATACGTATTTTAAACCTTCTATTGAATATTACCATATTTTACTTGTGTTTTAGCTTAGAGAGGTGACAAGTTTTTTTTACAAATATTTTCAGGATTTTTCTCATGCACATTCAGCGCACATATAGTTTTCAAGTGTAAATATATTGCTATGGAATCTAACTACGACCTTATTATTTAGCTAGTCACACATTGTCAAGGACTATTCTCCTTTTGGTGTTGCTGAAGTTTACCAATAATGTGTAAAATTCGTTGTGTAGAGGTTAATTAAAGAACCCCTGTAGGATGTGTCCTTCCTATTTTTACTTATTGGAAGATCAGGTGAAAAAAGTGACGTATGCAGTTTGAGAAAGAATTGACCTTATTGTAAGATATGTAGTGTTTAGGTCTCTCACTCTTATTTATAATTCCTCCAATTTCATATAGATCTCTCAACATGGCCTGGTGGTTAGGGTTGCGGGTTCGAATTCCAGTCATCGAACATGCTCGCCCTTTCAGCCGTGGGGACATTATAATGTGACGGCCAATCCCACTATTCGTTGGTAGAAGAGTAGCCCAAGAGTTGGCTGTGAGTGGTGTTGACTAACTACCTTCCCTCTAGTTTATCACTGATAAATTGGGAACAGCTAGAGCGGTTATATTTTCCTATCCGAAAATTTATGATTTGTGTGATATGCAGATTTAGGAATTATATAATTCATTATGGTGTGAACACATAAAACCATCGTGTTTTTAACATGTGTGATTTACTTTTTAATCTGGAAACAGTTAAAACTGATTTAAATTATTTCAGTTCAAATTGGGTTAATCCAAACCTTCATCAACGAGACTGGTGCTATCATATTTGCTTTGTGGTCAGCAAACTTGTGTATTAAACAGACTTATAGTAAATACGTTTACTTGCCTATGATATCCTTGGCAGGCAAACCTTTAGCCTGTATAATCTTCAATATTAAGGTAGAATTAGGGAAATTATATTCCAAGCTAAACTGTATTTGTCCAGCCGGTTCATCTGGTTCAGTCATGGCGTTCGCAAGGTCTGCAGCTTCTTCCTGTTGCTATAGATGAGGATGAAAAGAAATTCCTAGCTTAAACTTTTAGTTACTTCAAAAATTACACAAGCTATAAACAGTGTCTATGTTTTAATTTGTAAAAAGACTGCAGTATTGTCGTTAATGTATATGATCATTATTCATTATCATTTTATATTGAAGGTTATGTCCGTGCCAAAGCATTATTTATGTTTTATTGATCCTGTTGTTATCCGAATTCCGATAAGTTCAGGATTTACTACTTCTCTGACGTTGAGACAGACTTTTATGTGCGACGGTTCAAATAAAATTGATTCTAGTCCGTTTGTTTGGATCTACATAATATTGTTTGTACTAGTTTAAAGTAGATCACCTCAGCTGATGGTAATAGGGAGTGAAGAAAAGAAATCGGCCCCTGGATGGCAGTGTTATTATTCTCCTTGTTATCTTCAGCTATACTAAAAAATAAAGAGAGAATTCATATACGTTACAACTCTAGAATAATTCTTTATATAAATATAAGCTTTTCTTTGCTATTATTTATTTCAAATCAATTAAAACATTTTTACACCCTTTGCTATTATTTATTTCAAATAAGTTAAAACATTTTCTACACCCTTTGCTATTATTTATTTCAAATAAGTTAAAACATTTTCTACACCCTTTGCTATTATTTATTTTAAATCATTTAAAACTTCTAAAAAATGTCATAAAAATGGCACGAGACTGTGTATGTATTTTTTACATTCCTCTTGATTTGTCCATTACGGATTTCATATAAATGGCATGTAAAAATAACATTATTTCAAAAGCAGAACTCGCCACTTTAGCTAGACATGTTGGCAGACAAAAGCCTGTTACAAATAGTATTTTTAAGCAGTAAAAAGCAGAAACAAATATCTGCCGCATAGTGATTTGTATCACTATTATTATGCCCATTGGTTTCGCCGGTTTTAGGCGCTTAAAACCGTAACAATTATGGAAATGTCCTTTTCATTCCTTCCATTGTTGCTGTTTCAAATCTATTAAAACAGTCTCTTCGTACAATGTATTGTTGTTCTATATTAAACCAATTACAGACATTCTTCTATTCTTTGATTTGTTGTTAATTTCTTAAATTAAAGTTAACTTTTTTACCTTGTATCATTTTAACCTTTTAAATCAAATCTATTTTGTCCTGTGAATTGTAACTCATTTTCAAATCGAAAAAATCTTCGCTTTTGTATCCTTTATTGTTATTACATTTTGAATAACATAAAACTTCTTATTGATCTCCTGCTTATTAAATCGAATTGTTGTTATCAAACTAGTGAAAGTTTTTATTTCATTTTTTATTATAATTTTATTTTAAATGACATATTCTGAAATGTTGGTTTGAAAGACCGTAATAATTATGGTCAAGTAACAGAAATATTTTATTATGAACTGCAAGACTTTGCAAGAAGGCATATAAAAATTCTGGTGTGTCTTCCTTAAAACTGGTCAAAAACTATTATTTATTTTTTATTTGTTTGTAATTAAGCACAAAGCTACCCATTGGGCTATCTGTGCTCTGCCCACCACGGGTATCGAAAACCGGTTTCTAGCATTATAAGTCCGCAGACATACTGCTGTGCCACTGGGGGGGGGGCTTTATTATTATTATTTTTTTAAGTAAAATGTTTTGCTAATTATCCAGTATCCTGATAATATTAGCATTGGGAGGTAAAAAGCAAACCCCTCAAATATGACATTTTTGGTCTCCCCAGTGAGTCAGTAGTAAACTTACGGACTTACAACACTAAAATCAGGGGATCGATTCCCCATTATGTAGCTTTGCGCTCTAATGAAACGGACCAACAAACCGACACTTACGACGTCGACTGTGATACCGATGGGACCAGTAAGGATGGAATTATTCCGACTGGTCCTTGCTGAACTCGATCTTCGACATTATGGCGTGGAAGTTCTTTCACTTCATCACTTTGGCCGGTAGGTGGCGCTTTCCCGAACTGCAGTGGTTCTAACTCATCTCTTGAAGTTTTCTTTTGACTAAGCTTCTTCCAGTAAATGTAGCAAAGAAAAAATGCAACACCCAATGACAATAGCGCCGCCAATGTTCCCAAAACGGAAGCTACGATGATGTTGGTCATATCCATTATCAATTACATCTGAACATTCAAAAATACATAAAATAAACATGATGTATGTATAATATTACGGTTAGAACAACAAGACAAACTAAACTGAACAATACATTTTTTTTTAGTAATATAAAATGTATAATAATTAAAGAGCTTCGACTTCTTTGTGAGTTTTGTTTTTAGGCTTAGTTAGTCATGAAAATTTCATCTATTAAACCGTTCATTAATACTTCGTTATAAAATTATAACAGAAATTTGTGAATTGCAAATGCTAGAAAGTGAAAATAGTTCTTGCGGCTTGCGTTTAAAAAAGGAAACAATTTATTTTACTGAAAATATGCCCCCCGGTGGGCCAGTGATAAGCTTGAGTGCTTATAACGCTAAAGTTAGGGGTTCGATCTCTCCGGTGGACACAGTAAATAAAGCCCATTGTGGACCTTTTTCTGAAAAGCAGGAAGAAGAGGAAATCTTCAATAGCCGCGGCACTTGAAACGTTTTTAGGCAGAATTAAAATAAATTAATGTATGATACTTTATTTTCATTTTTATTAGCTATATTTTTGTGCGCCAGCAATACCAAGCGTGGGGCGCGCGTATACCAGTTTCGATTATATTACTCATCAGGATCTCTACCAGCCTACTCTCAAATTGAAATCTTTTTAAACAAGATTAGATTAAATTAATCTATGAAATCTTGGGCGTGGTCAAATACATCAGTCAAAAGAGTTTGATCTCCTGAGTCGAAAACTGTAATTAGACTTCAAATCGGTCAAAAGATGATGGAGTCATGAGTTGCCCCCCAGTGGCACAGCGGTATGTCTGCGGACTTACAACGCTAGAAACCGGGTTTCGATACCCGTGGTGGGCAGATAGAGCACAGATAGCTCATTGTGTAGCTTTGTGCTTAACTTCAAACAAACAAACAAGCTATGAGCTAAAAGTTTGTACTTGAAAAATGAAAAACAAACAAACTCAGAGCCATTCTATGAGTCGATGTGCCGCGGCTAAAAACAAGAACTAGAAGATATATATAAATTCACTTTGTCTATATCTTTTTCTTTTCCATATGTTGATATTTTCCTTATAGAGATTGCTTCTAATACACACAATTGCCTAAAAAATTACTAAGTCGTGAAAAAAACCAACCTAATAGAAAAAAAGAGATATATTTAACCTAAATCACACGGTCAAAAGCTTTAGGACTGAAAGAACTTTCAGAATTTCAGTTATATCAGACAAATTAGCTTTAGACTTTGCTCCCCTCATATAATTTCTACAAATTTGGGCAATTTCACATTATTCGTAGTTAATTTACTTTTGCTTAGAAGTAAAAACGTAATCACTCCGAGTGTAAATTAACTTACAAATTATAACACGTATTTTTTATTATTGAATTGTACCCCCCCCCCCCAAAATACCTTTAACATTCGTTTCTAGTGGACAAATCAGCGTTTGTATTCATTAATCATGGTTTCCAAAGACTCTTAATTATTTTACAAGCAGTTTTTATAGATATTTACAGGAAAGTTACCAGAACAAACTGAAACCTCAAAGAATAAGTAATAATATTCGTCCAAATTTTTATAGATAATTTTGAGTATGCGCAAGGTAATATTTTTTTTACACATAGCGTCGCATATGTTATATTAATTACATAAGTATTACTGATTATTAAAACATACGTCATCTAACTGGAATATGTCATTCGTTTTTCTATTAAAAGTATTTTTCACGGTGTCGGCTCCAAACACACCCACACTCCTCAAGACAAACTAGACTTTTTTTTAAACAGTTATCGCTGTTTAGATGTTGCCACAAAAAAAAAGAAATTACCAGCTTCGAATCAACATATATTTAAACCAGACTAGCTTTTGTTAGATTCTTACCAGTGTTCACTTTGCTTAATCACAGGCGTTTAAAGATTACCAGAAAAACAACTCATCAAATACACACACTTGAAGCTAAGTTACGTGTTGCTACACTATGTAAAGTTCTATTCTGCGTATCAACAAGCTCACTCACTCACGGTACACCGAAAGTCAAATTACTCTTTACTCTAGCAGTTTATCTAGTCACCATGACAACCTAGATAAGAAAATACTCAGGCTGACTGCTTTGTACTTAAATTCTCCTATCATATAAATATTTTATTTATGTATGCTTGTGTTACCTAGCCTAATGTTTTTTCAAGCTCCATGTATTCTTAAGTTATCGTGTTGTATTTATCTATCTGTACGTATGTGAAGATAGATTACGGATTTATATATATATGTATATAAATTGCTTTTTCAAGCGTTGAAAAAACAAGTCTTACTTAAGAACTTAATTCCCTAAAAAAATTTTAATTCCCTCTACAAAGGTGAACACTGCTACATCTTAAGACTCGGCGTAATACGCTGATTTTTTGTCGGAATCAGGTTGGCATCAAATTTCACAAATGTGCTCCGATAGTGGGTAACGTTTGCCTCATCCTACCAAGAGACTGACTACTAGTCCTTTATTACTGTGAATCATTTGAGAAGATGTATTATTATAAATGCCGCCTGTACAAAATTCAACTTAACGTATCTTCAAGTAGAGGATTTAAGCGCCAATTATTCAACTGGTTCGAAAAATGATAAATGGCGTCTTTCCTGAAAATCTAATTTGTAAGTTGAAATTAATGATACATCGTAAACTATTGTAATCAGTAGCAGTTCTTTCTTGATGGGATATCGAAGCTCGCATTCTACAACTATCATAAATGTTATCCTGTAAACACAGCTACACGTAATTTTTCTCCACTATACTCAGCAGTGCTGTCTCCTAACGGATGTGATAACATAGAGTTCATCTATATTCATGTCTACTTCCTGGTGTATTGAACTGTCAACTTGAATTTTTAAACCACTCGAATAAAAATCTCACGTCTTGGTAGCCATAGTTGAAGCTAGAAATAATTTGTAAACAGTGTTTACTGTAAGTATGAAGTGTTTACTTCTCAAGTAAGCACTTTGATTAGGATAATACTTAACCACACTGATAGACGTTAACTGTACGGTTTTCTCGTATTATCGGCTTAGGAAAAAAAACAACTCATTTATGAAAAACAAAAACATAAAGCTGAGTGTTAGCTTCACTGCAGTACACCTGCGATGAAATCACGAGTATCAAAAAGTGATTGGTCTAAATGTGAAAAATCATTGCAAAGAGAATACACTAGAAATAATATATGAGGTGAAAATCTTAAGCATTTCATTAAAATAAGTCATTCAAAAGTTGTTAGTAGCAACAAAGGATAATAGAAGCTTTCATATGTCACTCATAACATATATTCGCTAAGCTGAAAGAGAACGTTTATTTGTTTGTTTGAAGTTAAGCACAAAGCTACACAATGGGCTATCTGTGCTCTGCCCACCACGGGTATCGAAACTCGGTTTCTAGCATTGTAAGTCCGCAGACATTCCGCTGTGCCACGTGGGGGGGGGGGGAAGGGAACGGAATAATAATCGTAATTAAGTCTAATTTCATTCCAAACAATCAAGTTTTCTTTGTAAAATATCTAGCTAAAATGTTTGTGTTTTGTAACTTTATTGTAGTGTAACGTAGTGTTTAGAGGTTTAAAAGAAAATTAGAATACCTCGCTGCAAAAAAATATACTTTTTTTCTATGGATTATATTTCACTACTAACATTCAGTATAGATCTGAATTTAAGTAAGTGAGACATTAAGGTATTCATTTAGTAGCTCGTATAAGTAGTCGTATTTTCGTCGATTTGAAATAATTTATGAAAATTATTTTTATTTTTCAGCACAAAGCTACATAATTATCTGTCTGAGCTCTATTCACCGCGAGGAATCAAACTCCGGATTTTGAGTTTTAAGTACGTAATTTTACCGCTGATCCACCATTGGAAGTTAATAAGAATGGTAACTCTTCTTTTATGAAGAACCGGTTCAACTTGGATACATGAAATCGTTTGATGATTAACAAAGTTCTACAAATACCCTCGAAAGTATTAATTTGTTTCTACAAAAATGAACACATGTACAAAACTCATTAATATTGATTATAAATAATCATTATAATTTTAACACCGCCCAATCTTGTGTACGTGAACAGCTCTTAATTTTACTTTCTAAAAAAAATGAGTACTTTATTTGCTTTGAGTGTTATTAAGCATAAAGTTACACAAACTCTTATTTAATTAATGCTGATAAGCACAGATAAGGTTAAGAATGTAATTACATTACATTTTGGTTTACCTTTTATGAAAAAAAAATGCGAAGCTTTAGTAATAGTAAATCATAATTTTGAAAATGAGATTAACTCGTATTGATTGACGATAGTAAACTTTTTGTATATACAAATATTTATATAGAAAGAGAGATCTAGCATAGATTTTCACTTATTATCTTTGAAGTTTGAAGTAAGTCATAGAAAATTTATCGAAACCCGGGTTTTAGCGTGGTAGGCCTGCAGACTTACCGCTGAGCCACTGGGGAGCCACTTCTTTAGGAATAGACCATGCTCAAAAGTTCTTGCCAATAACTTGCTTCAAAATGTTTTTGTTCTTTTATGATCAGCAGAGTTGAATACAAATAAATGTTTAATTTTTTCTTGCACCGCCTTCTCTTGATAAGAAAGTGAAAATTTATTTACAAAGCAGAGTTAACATTCATAGTTCATTCTTGTTATACTGGCTGACATCATCTTGCGTCTTTAATGAAGCCAACAACTCGATGCAGTTTACTGCTGACATCATCTTGCGTCTTTAATGAAGCCAACAACTCGATGCAGTTTACTGCTGACATCATCTTGCGTCTTTAATGAAGCCAACAACTCGATGCAGTTTAATTAAACAT